CACACTAAGTACAAAAATACAAGCTTGGCAAGCACTCCACCACTTAAATTAACATGACAAATAAAAGAAAAGTAAATAAAAAAAATAAACTTACAATCAAACAACTGACTTATATCTACAAAGAACCTTGCACCTAAGCACCTCATCATGCACATAAAACCCAGGCATCACCATGACCTTGACCCGACCCGGCCCGTGCGGCCTCTGCTTGTCCCCAAACAAGTCCTCCATGTAACTCGCCTCAAACGGCATATTATCGTCGACCCTCAAAATGCCCAAACGCGGATTAAACGAGAACGCGAGCAAATGCACCAACCAAATGCACTTTGCAGCCACGAAAAACGCCTGCAGTAGCTGCTCGGGCCACGGCCTGGTCCACCCGAGCATGGCCATAACCCCATTCATTTTCTGGTCACAAAACTTACTAAACTCCTCACTGTAATACTTTGTACCTTTCCTCAAAACCTCATTCCAGCTCAAATTCCTCAATGAAACAAACATTTGGAACTTGGCCACGCGTTCTTGCTGCGGGTCCAAAAGCTTCGGTGCCCCATTTTTCTGAAAAACACAGTTCTCGAAATCTTGGTAGAGAGACTGGTTCACAAAGGCCTCCAAATGGTACAGAACGGCTTTCGAGTATTTCGAGTTTAGTGACAGCTTGTACAGCTGAAGGAGGGAGTTCAAATTATCCTTTAGCGTATGATCATTCTCTTCGATTTGCTTGATCAAAGTCTTGCAGAATTGTTTTACCGATAATCTTGCTTCGGACACAACCTGCAAGAACCCCTCGACCATGACCTCTTTACTCACCGGCATTTGATCTTCACAACTTTCACCAACCGATTTTCCACTACTTCCCGGCATTTGAGGATGATTATTGACTTGCCTCAAGGCCTTTTTCAGCTCCTCGCAATACGTCTCCAAGTACTCCAATTTCTGGCTGAGCTCGCCGACCGACGATTTCATCTCCGAAACCTCGTTTAATGCGGCATTTTTGTCCTCATTCGCCCTCGTCAGCTCGCATCTTAACGAGTCAATCGATAAGATCCCAAAGTCGTCCGGCCGCGAATTCACGATTTGCGAATTCTCGCTCTTGTTGTTCTTCTTCTTGAGACCCCTCGGAAGAAGCCACGAAAGGCCAACGAGGCCTTTGCTCTTCGAATGCGAGTGGAGGGAGGAGTGGGAGTCGGTGAGGGGGACGACGATGTTCGATTTCTTGCCGTTTTTTCCATCTCCTAAACTGTTTCTCCTCGACTTGGTACAGTCGGGTCCCGGGGAGGCGGCTCGGAGCGCAAAACCGGAAATTGAAATTTGGTCGTCCGCGGCCGGGCGTGCGCCCCATGCGTCCGATTCGGAGGGCAGCCCTTTTCTTGAGGACGTGTTGGCGGCGGTTCGGTAGTCGGATAGGATGGTCTCGTCGGCATTGGCCACGTGGAAGGCCGGGCCCGTCCAGCTGTCGGTGTAGTTCCGACTGTGGTTTTCGAGTAGTGTTTGGGGAAAGAATGATGGTGGCTCGTCTTCATAACTCTGTTGAGAAGAGAAGACACAGATTTTGAATGAACAAATAAAGTCAAGTATAGCTCCAGCACATAACAGTAAGAGAAAATTACAATAACGAAAATTCAATCTTTAAGCCCATGTACTTAACGGGGTAGCTTACCGGAGTGAAAACAGGGTAATCTTGGGCGGAAAATTGTGGCGGCGCGTGACGGGAAACAGGGGAAGCCGAGCGTAGACTGAAATTGGCGGCGGCCGAGGGGCTATTACCCTGCATTAGAGAAGCGTGAAGCGCCCTAAGCTCAACCGCCTTAGCCATGGCGGCTTCAACGTCTTGCCGGCTAATCCCACTCCCACTCCCATATTCACTGTTTTCATGGTATATTGAGGCGGCCATTAACAGAGCCCAAAAGAAAAAAAACAGAGATAGGATGTGAGGATAAAGATAGCTCAAAAAATTCTAAGTTATAGAGATGTGTGCTTTTGTATATAGGAATTTTTGTTTGTTTTAGTCACGGGGAGGAAGAGGACAAAAGAAAAACAGAGGATGAGTTGCAATGGAATGAGAACATTGGCATCTCAAAATAAAATGTGGGTTTTGTCTGTCTTTGTTCATAAAACAGATGGACTACATTGCATGTGAGGGAGGATAGAGTTGGCTTCAAGAGTTGCATCTTATACCTTATCAATAATTTTCGAGCATATAGCTTATAGCTGAAAAGCTAGCTTATATGATGAAAGTGTTAGATAAAATAGCTGGAATAAAAATTCAACTAGTTTATTTGAAAAGCTAACTGAAGAAGCTGATCAAATCTAAGCTCGAGTTTTTTAAAAAATCTTGTCCTACCAAACAAGTCTTATTTGAATAGATGGAACTTATAAGCTAACCAAATAAACTATAATCTAGCTTATTTGTCTACCAAACATAACTCAACTCAATCCAATTTGATTTAGATTTTCTATTATGTCTTCGTGGGCACTCTAATGCTAAAGTTGTAAATTATCTGAAATGGTTTTTTTCGCTACGTTAATAGTAAAAAGTGTATTCATGGCTATTGAATATCTAACAATACATTTTATAGGATTAAAATTACATTTTTCCCAACACGACAATACTAAGAACGAATCTCACGAAGGTACATTCGTTCGATAAACATGACACTAGACTACTCTATAGATCTATCATAGTGAGAAATTTGAGATATAAATGCATGTCATGAAAAAAAGTGGTGTAGTACCAAAATCATCAATGCTAACTCTCATTTTCTTCATCTTCACTTTTATTTTAACTTGAAAAGATAAAATTGAGAGATTTATACATGCAGCACACCACCAGTTCTTCTCTACACCTTTTTCTATACAAATTTCAATCAACGGATCGCTATGTGGCCATTTCAAATGAGCTAAGGGGTTGAGACAAGGTGACCCGCTCTCGCCATATCTCTTTGTCATTTGCTTGGAGTACCTCTCGAGGCTCATGAACCGGAGCACGGCAAGTGGAACGGGCTTCAACTATCACCCTAAATGTGAGTTTCTTAAAATCACCCATCTTGCCTTTGCGGATGACTTAATGCTTCTCTCTCTGGGTGACCCACGTTCTATTCAAATCCTCATGGATTGCTTGAGGGACTTTGGGGCAAAGTCGGATTTGGAAATGAATGTCCAAAAGTCCAACATCTACAAGGCGGGAGTTGGCCAACGGGATCATTCGGAGATCCTACGTGACACAAACCTCCGCCCGGGATCTATGCCTTTCCGATATCTTGGCATCCCACTAACGGCGGAAAGAGTCACGGTGGGGCAATTTGATGCCCTCATAAACCAAATTTCGGAATACATCAATGGGTGGAATGCTTCCTCTCTCTCATATGCGGGGCGAGTCGAGCTCATTAGATCGATCCTCCAAGGGGTGGAATGCTTTTGGATGTCAATATTCCCCCTTCCGTTGACCGTTCGTACACTTATCATCCAACGATGCCGTCATTTCCTTTGGGGATCAAAGACGGCACCCGTGGCTTGGCATACCGTCACCCTTCCACGTTCGGAGGGAGGCTTAGGGCTCCGGGATCTTAAAGCATGGAACCAAGCTTTGTTGGCACGAACGCTTTGGAATATTCAAGCGAAGAAGGACACACTATGGTACCGGTGGGTACACAATGTCTATCTAAGACAAAAGAATATTTGGGAATGGACTATCCACAAGAAGAATGATT